AAAAAAAAAAAAAAAAAAAAAAAAATTTAACCTGAACGTCTAATTATACTATTAATAACATAATACAATGAGATTCATCTTAAACGATTTACGCTTTTTTAACTGTTACAGAGGCATCAAATAAATTCACAAAAGACTGAAATTAAGCTTCTGCTGATAGATTAATTTTTACTGAGTAAAGTGTAATCAAATGCACAACGAACGCACGTAAACTTGTGAAGCGAACAAGTTCAGTCACTACTTACGAAGTTTTGAAAAGAAGGAACTCTTGAAGTGCAGTTAGATTTACATAGACTCTGAATGGTCCTTCTAGATAATAATAAATAAAAGGTCATAAATGGCTAAACAATTCATTCCATATTACACTATATTATACTTCAATCTACAAAGTGTGCGGGTATTCTTAAAATGAGCCCCACCCCTAAGAAATGATTTTTTAAACTCACAATAGAGTGAAAAAAAACAAAACGATCGCATATAGTCCCGAAAATTTAGTTTTGTTGCATTTTGTTTGCTATATTTTTAATTGAATATATTGTAGAATAGACATTACTAAACATAAAAGTATAAAAATTATGTGCAATCTTTTTTTTTGTCATGCGTGCAAAGGTGGTAGCCAGCAATTTTAAAATGGTTGCCATTTTTAAACATTTTTATATATTTATTTATTTATTCAGGTATAAAAGGAAATATACAAACGGCACCCAAAGGCTGAAATGAATGTATTTACAAAAATAGAATATATTAAAAATGCAAGTATATTAAAAATATTATTCCAACAGTAATTTCACTTATTATTATTAAAAACAGTACCGAAAATATACAGCCTGGTTTTTTATTCGTTCCCTTGGTCAGCTTCAAACATATGTATTAATCACGGTTAGGGTGATTTTTACGGAATTTATTTTGCGGCTGACGGTAACGTGTGTAGATAGAATTAAAAACCTGCTCATGAACTTAAACAAGATCTCTAATAGAAACCTTTACGGTAGAGGCAAACAAAATCATTTTGACTTAAATTTTTTGACGCTAAACGTAGAAATAACAATACACACCAACCGAAGTCGCGACTAATATCTGCGACAATAACACTGTACCTATAATGTTGAATGCTAAGCACTATTTTACCATTAAATATACCCAACGACATACTCAAACTTTATGATGAACCAGCAGCAAATACATTGTCTGTTGAAAAAGGAAGGTCTGGAAAAAATTGTAACAACTTACCGAAGAATGATCGATTAGACAAAAATATTAAAAACAGCCCATAAAAAAATTCAACAGACTTTATTTAAAGTAGTCGTGAAGTTATATTCGTACGATCATTCGTTTTTTGTCAAGCTTATGCCTCTAAAATGTGTTTTTTTTTTTGTTTGTTTGTTTTTTTCGTTTAGATCTTCTATTTGTATTGACTAGCACACCTTTCAAAAACGTCATAGGCCTACTAATTGTAAGTTCCAGAATGTAGATGCCTCCTCTTTTGTTGTTACCCATACCACTCTCTTTTAAATTCCTAATGAACATTCACGCCTAAGATAAGCCTACCCAGTATAGTGATCATTCATAAAATCAATTGTACGCGTTATAGAGGATACGAGATTTTTTTTTTACGAACATTGTTAAAATAATCATGTCCTCGCGTGTAAAGTGAAATAAAAAAAAATGCATCCTCAGTTTTCAAAATTCAAAAACGTTGGCAAATTTTAGGTAAATTATCAATAAATACATAAATAAATATGGATATCTATCTTATCTGGATGTTGTAACATCTGTAAGAGAAATAATGAAGGGGCTACATCAAAATGCGGAAAAATTGCCATAGTGGCTGCAGCTGAGGCCATCAGTCTGAAGGATCTTGTAGCATTGACTTTTTTTGTGCTCATTATCAGTAACATACGTATTCTCTCTGTAAACAGAGACGATTCCATAATAGTTTTCTATTACCTTGTTGAGTGAAGAATTCTAACATTGTGGAGAATTTCGAAACTAGATTAAGGCAACTTGAAATTCAAAAATGACCTGCTGAATCAAAGGTCAGGAACAGGGATAGAATTAATTTTACACAAAATATTCCACTAGAAATAAATCGTTAATTAAATTCATTTATACTATATTCAATTTGTGCAATTAACGAACCAAAGTCATAAAACATGCTTAAAATCTTTAATAATGTCATCTATAGCTGGAAGTTACAGGTGAATGTATTTGTATATTATTTATTCATATTTATTTACTTTCTGTCTGTATATATTTTTATTGTACTTTGTTAGGACTAGTAATCTGAAACTGAGAAAAAAAAAATTTCCGAATTCAGAATAAAGATAAAGAAATCTAGCACAACATGGTAAATGTGAAGGTGGCATTTCTTGTCACTGTTACATTGTTACAATAAAGTAGATAGATAAGTGCATTTAATGAAGAGTTTGAATATCAAGATTGGTAAAAACTCTATGTCCATCGCAAAATTGCATATTTATGCTATAAAGTTTGCATATAAACTAAAGTGATTTCTGGAATGTTATTCACTTTGCATTGTTTATGGGAATGCGGTCAAATGTCACATTTCCGGTCACTCTTGGAGAAAATGTTACAGTAACAATTTAATTAAGAAAAGGTAAGTCTGTACGACCAGTAATTGCCAAAATATGCTGTATCTTCATCCCTTTCGATATTTGTATATTAACTAAGGTATATATTTGGATATCACTAACCCTGCATCTATGCATTTTTAATATATTATTAAATTATTGCTTGCAAATTATTTCATTTCAAATGCTAGGTTTAATGTAGCAAATTAAATCATTAGTTGCATATAAAAATAATATGCTAAAAATAACTAAAACAATTATTGTAGTTTTGAATTTTGCAAATTTCAAGTGAAATATTATTCTAATTTTTATTGTCACTGATATAAATGAATATTTGATATATTAGCATCTTTTAATGTCATAAGCATATAGTTATTGGTAATAAAATGTTCAAAATGGCGGTAATTATGAAATTGCATGCTCCCCCTTTACGCATTTAAAAAGTGTTTTACATACTTTTTATATTCAGTGATGTCTATTTTATAACATATCAAATTTCTTAAAAATGTAAATGCAAACACTTATTTTGCTACATTTTGTACAAAACTAATACGTGCTTAATAATAAAATGTTAGATTTATATAGTGCTTAATGCCGACAAGGCCTCTAAGCCCTTCACAATACTAACCCTAGTCATTGGATTAAACGCCTATGGAACACTAACTCAAACTCAAATTCCTGGAGGAGTATTCCATAAATTTGTAGCAGCTACATCAGCGCATTTTGACATTTAACCCTACCAGGTACCCATTTATACTCCCGGGTGGAGAGATACCCAAGGACATAAGTGAAATGGACAGTGACTGGATTTAAAGCTCGACCTTCAGCTTCAGCGACACTAGGACTTGAATAAATTGTAGTTATAACTACGTTGTTTGTAAATGCAAATTAAAGTTAGTTCGAAGTTCGACTACAGCTCATTTTAAGAATTAAAATAAAAAACTATAAAGGGTTTTAAACTTGTGTATCTTTTTTTTTTATGTGCCAAGGTGTTGTCTCAATAAATAATTATGGAAGATTCACTTCCTTAATAAATGTGCA